TGTCTACGGATTGGATCCTTGGTTGCCACTCCAGTTTTGCAACTCATTGCAATAATTGCACACACCTTGCTTCTTCTGACAGTTAAGTATTCACCTGGCCTCTATTATTTTGGGACCCCATCATCCCTACTAAGGAGCTCAGTTTTCTAACACTGTCTCCACCAGTCAACCCTGGCATAGGAAGAGCATTATTACTGAGATTCTCAATGGTTGTTACCCTCTTAACAGTTCATTTCTTACCATCTTGGTAAATGGGGTGTTCTCTGGGCTTCTCTTAGAACAGAGTCTGCCAGTGGGTTTTCCAGTCCTATCTAGGGTCTGTGCAGCAGCATGCGCAGCCCTCAAGTCACATGATACCTTCTTCCCGTCTGCCATGGCAGATGCAGCATTTCCGCTTCATTTCCTATGGGAAGTCACTTCCTCCAAGATTCCAAGAGCCATCCCAGCTCCTAGGGTCCTTGCCAAGGAGATGAATCCTATATCCTGAGAGAGAGTTCCCATTATCAATAAACTCTCCCTTACCCAACTGTAGTCAACCTTCTTCATGATCGGACTGCTAGCTATGAAAATGAGCCAGATTTTTGCCTTTTGTGTACAAAAAGGTCCTAAAATGACCCCTTCAATGAAGGCTATCTGGCTAGAAGAGTCACCCGTCATATCCTAGCCCAGGTTCTGGGATGAAGAAAGGGTAGCAAGAGCCCCAGCAGAGTTGCTTTCCAGAGATCCGCCATCTTGCATTAACGATGGAATATTCTGAAACCAATTTTAAAATCAAGATTAAAATGCTATATAGGTTATTCCAGAACATACTTTGATTTTGCATATATATGTCCCCTATTTGGTCTTTCGGTTTTTAAAAATGCCAGAATAATGGCTTAGTTCGTATCTCTGCTAACTTAAATTGCAGGTTTTACTGTAGAACATACCTTTCTGTGTGGGAAGTGGGAAGTGAAAGAAGTAGTAAGCTCCAATGTTTCCAGGCTTTGTAACAAAATAGAGATAAACTATTTATAGAGATTAACTTTGACTCCTTGACTTTTTTTAATGAATTGCTTCATACAATAGCATTGTTTATCTGGAATTTTCTTCCAAACCCCATTTACAAAAGTGAAAAGAAGAATAGCAAATATGATCTACTGAGCACGTATGTGCACAGTTGTGCAGGTTGTATACTGCACAAGGGCACCTGCACATCTAAGGGGATGTGGTTCACATCATAGAAATCATGGATTTGCATATTTACTAAGAGAATTTTCCAGTAGATGGCAGTAAAGTGTCTTAATCTAAAAATCAGAATATTACAACAATTTCTGCTAGATGAAAGTAAAGTGTCTTGAGGAGAGTGCATCTTTTTCTAATACGCAAAGATACCATATAGTTAGTGCTGTCACTGCATTCTACATGTCAGGCCCTGTGCTCATTCACCCTGTTTAATCCTCAGGATCCTATAAAATGGGTACTATTGGTAATTTGCTGAAGGCCACTGAGTCAGGGTATAGCAGTTTTGAGATTCTAAAATGGGTCTCTAACTCTAGAACCTGTGCTCTTCTACATTAAATGATGGTCTTTCAAGGGTGCCTGGGTGGCTCAGAGGGTTAAGCATCTGCCTTTGGCTCAGGTCATGATCCCAGGTCCTGGGATCGAGTCCCACGTCAGGTTCCCTGCTCAGCAGAGAGCCTGCTTCTCCTCTCTCTCCCTCTGCCTGCCGCTCCCCCTGCTTTTGCGCATGCCCTCTCTCTGTCAAAGAAAGAGAGAGAAAGAAAGAAAGAGAAAAAAGAAAAAAAAAAAAGAAAAGAAAGATCTTTCAGAAAAAGTAAGGTGTAGGGACTTGAAGAGACGTGACCACAGAGGGCTGCGCTGCCCTGATGCTCAGCCCAGCCAGCTACTGGAGCTCCTGCATGCTTACAACAGTGCTAAGTGCCACTGGGGACAGAAAAGCACAGGGTGCTCCATCCAAGAAAAAGGTCATACTTAAGTTTGTGAAGAAAAAAAAAATGGGAGAATGATGACATTCTCTTTGGAATTTTAATTACACTTGTGTGATTTAAACTATATGTGCTACAGAAATTCAAAAAGCAGAGAAGTCAATAACAGGTTACAGTAGTTCTCAAAGGATTGGACTTCTTTATATCCAAAAATACTTTGAGTAAATGCTTATCATCAGTAATGTATACATTCTATATTTTAGTATAAATTTTAGCCAGAATGTATTACCACCAATTCTGTATACATGGGAAAAATTATAAGCTTTATTTTAATATATAAATATCTACACCAACCCACCTTGCAAAATGTTATATTTTTAGTGTAGTATTGATCCAGTGTTGTAAAACTGGTAAGCCATAAATAGCACTCAATTTAAAATCTCTGTAACATTTAGGGGTGCCTGGGTGGCTCAGTCGGTTAAACGTCCACCTCTTGATTTCAGCTGAGGTCATGATCTTAGGGTCGTGAGATCCAGCCTCGTGTTGAGCTCTGTGCTGGGCGTGGAGCCTGCTTAAGATTGTCTCTCTTCCTCTCCTTTTGCCACCCCCCCCCCGCCACATGCACTCTCTCTAAAAAAAATAAAAAATAAAAATAAGAAGAAAATCTTTGTAGCATTCACAAAGTCATAACTTCAGGTATGAAGAGAAAAGAAAAAGACCTTAAACTTCATGGTCTGTTTTAATAAAATCACTTATGAAATTATGAAATAAAATGTCTGCTAAAAAAAAACCAAAAAATATAAAAGATAAAATCTGTATAGCAAATACTAGTCAATCATTAATAAAAGGAGCCCATTTATAAATATTTTATATTGATCCTTAATTTACCACTGAGGAGACTTTTCCCCTATTAGACCCACTGAAATAAAAAAAAATGAAAAAGCTCCATCTTCTGTGAAACAAGCTATTACAGCTTTTGCTTTTTATTTTAAAACAGCACAGATAGCATGAATACACTTCTCTAAAAAATTTATCTGTACAAAGGCTCAGGGAGGTATCTAGGATTATGTCAGCTTGTTAATGACAATTATTTTCTGGGTTGTGAGATTTGGAGTGATGTTTTTGCTTTTTTCTTTATCCTCTCCTATATTTCCTAATTTTTTTAAAAGATTAATTACAATAAAACTTACCATTCTTTAAAGCAACATCACTGAATATTTAATTTTATGCCCTGTGAAGTCCTCTTAAAAACAAAAGTGGGGCACCTGGGTGGCACATTTGGTTAAGCATCAGACTCTTTGTTTTGGCTCAGGTCGTTATCCTGGGGTGGTGAGATTGAGCCCTGTGTGGGGCTCTGCGCTCAGTGCAGAGTCAATCTGCTTAAAAAATTCTCTCTCCCTCTTCCTCTGCCTCTCCCCTCCCACTTTTGCTCTTTCTTTCTCTCTAATGGTTCTTTTTTAAAAAAAAAAACCCATAAGGGGACGCCTGGGTGGCTCTGTCAGTTAAGCGTCTACCTTCAGCTCACGTCATGATCCCAGGGTCCTGGGATTGAGCCCTGCATTGGGCTCCCTGCTCAGCGGGGAGCCTGCTTCTCCCTCTCCCTCTGCCTGCTGCTCCCCCTGCTTGTGCTCTCTCTTGCACATGTGCTCTCTCTCTGACAAATAAATAAAACTTTAAAAAAACCCGTAAGTATTCATATTACTAGAAAAATAATTGCATAGCCAAATCATATTTTAAAAGTCCGAAGTCCCTTAATGGATTGGTAAATGTAATAGTTACAGTTATGACTGTCATTTAATCCTTTTAATCTCTGAAACAGAATAGCTACAAATCAGTATTCTCTAGGTAGTAAATTTTGTGGCAAAATAAGCTACAGTATACACCAGCCTCAACATTCACTAGCACCTAACTTAATCAAAGAGTTGGTGATTTGAAAACAGACAAATCACTCTTTCAAGGTTAGTTTCTGAACTTGACACATTGGAATGGGGATGGCCTCACCCAGTAGTTTAAGGTCAGGGTTTATGTTATGCAGGACCTCAAATCAAGATTAGAAATGAGCAAATCTAATCCTTTAAGGGGGTAGTTTGAGAGGAAAAGATTAGAAAAACAGGTCAAAAGCAACTAGAATTAAAAACTTGAAAAGAGAAAGAAAAACAGGACAACCTCCTGTAAATATGAGACTGTCATTTGCTTTTACATGAAATATGCCCGTTTGTGTTCAGTATCTTGTGCCTATTTTATTCCCTGGGTCTGGGCAAATATGTTTCTATTAGAAAACTCCATGAGGATAGGCAATGTAGCTTTTCTTTATCATAATCATTTGGTATCAAATCCACTTACCTAAAAGGATGTGCCCAATTGCCAGTCAAAATGTGTGATCTGTTATTGACTGTCAAGATTCCCCTTAGTTCATATGTCAGTTTGCACAGAATGCAACAGTTTAGGGCGCCTGGGTGGCTCAGTTGGTTAGGCGACTGCCTTCGGCTCAGGTCATGATCCTGGAGTCCCGGGATCGAGTCCCGCATCGGGCTCCCTGCTCGGCAGGGAGTCTGCTTCTCCCTCTCCTGCTCCCCCCTCTCATGTGCTCTCTCTCTCTCAAATAAATAAATAAAATCTTTAAAAAAAAAAAAAGAATGCAACAGTTTACAAAACTGTTAGCTGTATCATTGGAGGTTAATTCATAAGCATCTTAAGAGTAAGCTGAACGAATATTATCACTCCTTACTCTGTAACAGATATGTTTAGAACCTAGATTTTCAACATCTCTCTTCAGCACCACTGATATGCACCTGTTTTCATAACAAGTGAACTGTATGAATAAGTTTCAACCAATAAGAGTCAAGTATCCTATTCCTGAAGTTGTAAAAATAAAGTGCTGTTTATATAAGCTAAATGAGATATCCAGGGAAGATCATGGTAAGGAATGTCCTTCTAGATCAAAAGACAGACAAACACACACACACACACACACACACACCCCAACTAACCAAGACTTAAACCTAATCATGTAATCCCCAAGGTCAGAAGTACACCACAAGAGAAAAAGGCAAAGGAGATTCTAATGTTGTTTTTATTTAAAATTTTTTTTTTGAAACTCCCTCTCACCTCCTTTCAGCTGTCTAAGTGAAAATGCATGCAAAGTCTAAGTCTGGTGGTATTTTTTTTTTAATTATTTCTTAAATCCCTGAAAATGTGGCTTTTAAAACTTGGGGACGTGAAGCGAGGACAGGGTATACTGAGGACCCATTTTATTTGTCTGCTTCCTTGTTTATTCATGAGCTAGACTCAGAAACTTTTCAATGAAATGGGAAGCATGTCTGTAGTGGAGTAATGCTTAATACTGACTTCCTCCCTCTCCAGCCCCATGAAAGGTAAGGAAGAGTCTCAGGGAGGTGAGAAAAGAGCTTAGAAAACTTGGCATGAAGAGGAGAGCTTCCTAAGTTATTAGGAGAACCTGACAGGTTATCCATCGATTCCCTGTGTTTGGATGATGCACTGATGCAAACAGCATCAGCGTCTCTTCCGGTGCCCCATACGTCTGTCATTAGTTTCCTCTTCTGGCTGTTTCCCATCCATGTCCTGCTGAGGAATTTGCAAGGCCAGTTTTCCTTGCCTGTGTCTAGGAGGAATTGGCCAAAGTAACTAAAGTTTTCAGCACCATCTTTCATCTATATGTAGTTGGGGGTGTGAGTGTTTGGGGGCTGTGGAGAGGGGTTCAAAAGGACAGTAACAAATGCCTTAAGACCTTTTAGTGTCTTCCAAAAATTTACCCTTAGAACAAATCCTATGCAAATGACCAGTAGTTCCTCATCTATTCAGACCACTAATTTTTCAAAGTATTACATAAATTTAGAAAATATTATCCAAAGGTATTTCCCACTGAATAAATCTAGAATGTACTTAGTTCAAATATTTAGAAAGAGTTTTAACAACTGTCATTCATAAATACTCCATTGTGAATTAGAGTATAAAAACAGAACTTTGCTTAGTGAGTAAGTGGTTGATAGCTGTCCACTCTCTGCAGAAGTGTATCTGAATATCCAGGGGAATAATACCTGAAAAAGAAAATTTTCTGTTAGATACTTATGAAAAGCTTCAGCACAGCAGGCACAAAAGATGCAATATAAGGTATTTATCTAAATTAATTCTATCAGTGAAACCTCAAATATACTCGAAATACTTATGCTCCAGTAATGCTTTGTGCATAGGGTTAGAGACTATCAAGGAAGAGAACACCAACTCACAAGACTGTGCTAGATAAATAGCAAAACATTGAAGGGCTATTAATGCAGTGGCACAGAAGGGGTATTTTCAAAGCAAGATACTTGGATCCAGGGCTAGTATTTTATTACAGAGACTGTTTTTATTATGTTAAATGACTGGTGTTTCTTTAGTGATCATAGCTAATTGGTTTTTTCATAAAGTAGACATTACTAATCAATGACTGCATTCTGATTGCCTTACAGATAATTCTCACTGTATGTCTTAATCAGATCTGGTCACCAATAAAAACAAAAGTTTCTGGGAGTATAATTCACATTAAAGAACTATTTAATAAATGGTTTTCAAATATCCCATCATACAAACTTAGGAAATTAGTCATTTTCATTGATTTGGGGCATCTGTAGTACGAAAAATTTATATTTATAAACTGAATGTTTTATAAAATAGTATAAAAGTATTAAATATATTGATTAATGCATTATGGAATGCTTCATATCTATGAAAAGAATTTATATGCACATAAAAGTATGTCAAATAAAATTTGGCATGCATCCTAGAATATAATAAACAGATAAAAAGTCAATGTAATTTAAAATTTTCCAAAACACTCAAAATAATTAAACTTCCTAAGGTATTCTCTCCAGATAAAATCTAGTGTTTGAGATTTGCTTTGTCCTTGTTAGTTATCTTTACCTATTCTCAGATGCTTGACTTAAAAACTCACAACTTATACTAATTTCTCCCACAATCTGTCAAGTGGAGGTGAACAAAACAGAACAGTATTTTCTGTTAGAGTAAATAGAGTATTTATAAATGGAGTATTTATAGGCGGTCATAGTTAAACAGAGACATACAAAATTTACCCTAAAGAATGTTTCTCGTCTAAAGGCATCCTACCCTTCAAAAAACTGTCCTTTAACAGTGGGTCTCTCTGAAGTACTCTTACACTGAGGAAGTCACAACTGTTTCTCTCTCTGAGTTTGCCACAAATTTTAAAACAGGCCTCACATTCCTAGGCCTGATAAATGGGTCAGATACAAGATAGGTACCTTTTATATAAATGGTAAGAAGTAGATTTAGAAAAACCAAAACTTAAAAAATTGTGCTGTTTCATGTGGTAGCCCCTAGCTACATGTGACTATTGAGCATTAGAAATATGGCTAGTGTGACTAAAGAACTGAATTTTTTTATTTAATTGTAATAAAAATGTAAAAACTGATATTCAGTTCAGATATTTTAGGTGAAACTTTTTTCAAGAGATTGAGAGCACGTGCGTGAGTGGGGGGAGGGGCAGAGGAAGAAGGAGAGAGAGAATTTTAAGCAGGCCCATGCCCACCCCATGTGGGGCTCGATCTGACGACCTTGAGATTATGACTTGAGCCAAAATCAAGAGTCGGGAGCTTAACCCACTGAGCCACCCAGGTGCCCCTAGGTGAAACTTTTAGGTGTCTTTGAAACAACTTGTGAATCTATCTTTTCAACTATAAACTTTATATACTCCAAATACAGATAAGTATTTCTAATAAAATTCAGCATCTGAATTGAGATGAACTAGAGGTGATAAAATACCTACCAGATTTCAAAAACTTAGCATAAAAAATGAAATAACTCATTAATAATTTTTATATTGATTACAATGTAGTCTAGTCTAGGCAGAGATCCAGAAGACAGAGGAGTTCCAGAAATATTCCTGGCTGTGGAATGGGTCAAGATTAGAACTCAGGCCTTCTAACATCTAGGCCTAAGCCCCTTTCTGCTCAGCACACCAGCCACCTTTATTAGAGATCTTTAAAGATTACTAAAACTGCAAGGCAATATGAAATAAATGTTTAGGCTAATAACAGCTGAAAGAATGTATCCACTGATAATCTGTCTTATAAAGAATAATTAGTTCTAAAAGTCACCAAGTGATTCTTGAGAATTATATGATTACAAAAATAAAACCATTTTGAGCTTATATTTGTCCATTTTCATAGACAATGTTTCAAAGATTTCTACAAAACACCTCTAAGTTCTATAGAACCTAATGCTTTTAAAAACATAAGAACCATTGGGGCGCCTGGGTGGCTCAGTTGGTTAAGCAACTGCCTTCGGCTCAGGTCATGATCCTGGAGTCCCGGGATCGAGTCCCACATCGGGCTCCC